TGCGTCGGCAGGCAGACCTCCATGTCTCGGGGCCTGCCGCGTGCCTGTGGGAGACGCCCGCTGGGTGCGGTGCCCGCCGTCCAGAGGCGGGGCGCTACCGCGCCCCGCGGTTCGCCCAGGGGTGCTCGGGGCCGCTCCGTCGCTCGGGGTTGCTCGGGGCTGCCCGGGGCTGCCGGCGCAGTGCCCAGCAGCGCCAGGCGGTGGCCAAGCGATGCCAAGCAGTGCCAGGCACCGCCAAGCAACCCCGAGCAGCGCAATGCCAGCCAGTGCCGAGCAGCGCCGAGCACTGCAGAGCAATGCCAAGCAGTACCAGGCAGTGCCAAGTATTGCCAAGCAGCGCCAAGGAATGCCAAGCACTACCATGCCAAGCATTGCCAAGCACTTCAAAGTAATGCAAGGCAGTGCCAAGCAACACCAGCGGGACCAGGGACCCTTCGGTGGCGATTAGCCGTGCGCAACCAATAAAGCGTGTTAAGGAAGGGCTCTTCAGATTGGATGATGTTCAGCAGCCGCAACCGCAGCCGTAGGGAAACAGCAGCCTTCTGGATACTCGGGGCCTTATACATCTAGTTTCTGACTCGTGGCACAAACAGCCGTATGCACTTTCCACATTGTCTTCAGTGCCCATGGTGGCCATACGCTCCCCCATTGTTGTGATCGCCCGCCTTCTTCTGCCGACTTTTGGTTGTGAGAGTGGTCGATAACATGGCGTTCAACGTGCAGCTGATCCAGCCTCGCGTCTTGGACCAGGGCTCTGACGTGCCAGCGCACGGACCCATTGGTCTTGTTGACAACGATGCAGGCGTTGTTCCCTTTTGCAGACGATCATGCGCGTGTGTGTGGTTGATGTCAGCGGTTGTTCGGATGTCGGCCCGTATTGTGCCGACGCGAACTTGCCGAGACAAGTTTTGGCAGCGAGCGTCCTGGACCAGAGCCAGACGTGGTGCATTAGCAAGATCATTATGATTGCCAGGGTTCGGATTTTGGCAACGAAGGGATGTGCGACAGCTGCAGTTAGTGCCAATTCTTCTCCGATGCTGCTTACGTCGGCGAGTGTGGGCACTGCAGGCCAGGTGTCACGACTTCCTGTCACTCCCATGAATATTACGTGGTCACCATGGGGGCGCTGACGGTGACACATGCGTGGGGAAATCTGTCATCAGACGAGCAGCTGCTCTTTCTCGAGAAGAAGTTTGGCGAGCTCGACAGCCTTTGACACCTAGGCGTGGACGAGCTGGTGGGCGCCCTGATCGGGCAGGACCTCGTCGCGGTCGAAGCCGCTAACGACACGCTTAACACACTCTTTGACCGAGTGTTACTTCTCAGGGGTTTGGTGCAAGAGTTTGTCGAGGAGCACAGCGCCCATGGCAGTGCGCTCTTGACCTTCGACGAGCAGCTCGCCACGACTCCTCGGCAGGCACAGCGAGCTGCCCCCCAGAAGGCGTTGCGTGAGCCCTCGTGCACCTTCGAAAGTATCTTCTCACATCCCAGCACCTGCTTGGAAACTCAATGGGTGAACAATTGCGGGAACTCTTGCAATGAAGTTTGCACCTCTTGCCCGAGATTGGCGCATGCGAATTCGAGCATTGTTACGCGAATTTCCCGAGATGTGGGATCCGTTGCGCGAAAGTCTCAAGAGCTTGAGTTCGGGCGGGAGGCGTCGGCGTCGTTGGTGGAGTGTCGTTGTGGACGTGGTGTGGTAGAGACGGTCGTCGGTGTGGTCGTGTGTACTGTGAGCTGCATCACCACTTGCGTGTGGTCGTTTTGGAATTGCATTTCGCAGGGGGTGAGCAACGGTATCATGGCCGACGGCATCAGGGTGGCCCTGCTTCCTCCCGAAGCGACAGTTGCTACCACGGTTTTCGAGGCTTTGCGAGATTGCGGCGAGAGGGTGGTGAACGGGATATAAATAGAAGCTGCGGCCGTGAACATCGACTTCTGTTGGAACTCAGCTTCACCGCCGAATTCATTGACTGTGGTGCCTTCGACTGCGTCAGCAGCACAACCATTTGGGACGTGCTTGACGTCTTCGGGATGGCCCAGCGTTTCGCGAATACCGTGGCGAAGTTCACTAATTGACTCACGAAGACTACAAAACTCCCCATTCGGCATCCCCGCTCCCGTTCTGAACGTTGATTGGACAGAGGCACGTGGTGTGCGTTTGTTCGACCTACACGCCGTCACCGACGCCAAATTCGAAGACGCATCCGACGCCAAGCCTGACCTCAGATCCACGCATGTCCGACGCCAAGCCATACGCCGTATCCGACGCCGTATCTGACGCCATATCCGACGCCACGTCCGACGCCAAGCTCGACGCCAGAACCGACGCCAAGTCCAACCCCACTGCCACCCGCTGCCACGCATGTTTCGACGCCAAGCCCGACGTCAGAGCTGATACTGTATCCAACGCAAGCCCGACCCGACGAGGTGTCTGACGCCCAGCCCGACGCCAGACCCCACGTGGAATCCGACGCCAAGCCCGACGCAAGAGCCGACGGCGACCACGGCGACCTGCGTGGACGTACCTGGGTGAGGGGGCAGTGATGGTACACCTTGCCCCTGGTTCAACACGGCAAATGTTTGCACCACGCCCTGAGGCTATGGACCGGCGTGGAATTTTGGATGGGGCACGTTTGCAGATCGGGCAAACGATGGCTATGACGGTTCGACAGCATGCTGCGGTTGAGGTGCGGGCACGTCGCCGACTCGTTGCCAGTACATCGATATCCATTCAAATACATTTGGGTATGTTCAGTTGCTGTATAGTAGCAGCATTCGAGCTTTGTCAATGTGGTTTGCGCCGAACAAGGATGCAGGCTATACTTGAGAGTATGTTTTCGACGCACGTACTGGAGAGGGCTCTGGAAGGTTATTTTTTTTGTACTGGTCATCCGGCACCGCGCGCGTTAAGAAGGGCGGCAATTGGCGTGACACGTTATACGTCAACGGAGTTTCCGCTCCCCTAAGTGCCCTCGTTGCGAGCGTCAATCCTGCAACAATCACATTCCCAGCATATGCATCTCTACGTATCGTCAGACACATTTTCGGCGACGATATGACGGCGTACGTTAGATTTTCGTTCTAAGAGAATTTGCCTTCAAAGATCCATTATTTTGAAATGTGGTTGTCCAGGTTGTCCTCGTCTGACATTTTGGCCGCGGTTCCGCGACAAACGACATCAGTAACGCGCATGCGTTCCTGTTCGGCGGCAGACTTAAGGTTGTACACATTGGACACCGCGTCGCTTGTCGACAATGGCGTCGGTACGGCGCAGTGCCCGCCAAGCCCAATGCCCTTTTTGACGTCGTAGCCCACGCCAATCCCGACGTATAGCCCGACGGCACACCCGATGCCAACCCCGACATACAGCCCGACGGCAGACCCAATGCCAAACCCCACACGCAGCCCGACGGCACACCCGACGCCAAACCCGACGCGTAGTCCGACGGCACACCCGACGCAAAGCTTGACGCCGTTTCCGACGCCAAGCTCAACGTCGTCTCCGACGCAGTACCCTATGCCAAGCCCGACGCCGTCTCCGACGCCAGGCCCGACGGAAAGCCCGACGCCATCTCCGACGATAAGCCGATAAGCCCGACGGCAAGCCCGACGCCGTCTCCGACACAGTACAAACAATGAGTGTAAAAGTTCGAATGGGATAGCATTGCACAAACAGTTCCTGCCAAAGGATGCAGAGTTTGTGGGAATCCGAAAATGCATGTTGTCTTGAATATATGAAAACCATGTTCTGCAGCTTGGCCCATTGTAACAAGGTCTAATCATGTATCGAAACATTTCTACCCAGCGACGAGCCCGACAGCAAGCCACACGGCAAGCCCGACGCGGACCCCGACTTTTGCGCCGACCTACCTTCCGCCTTCCGCTTGGGGACGTGCACGCATCGAATATTTGTAGCTGATCCAGCCCCCCTTTCGGATGCAACTGTTGATAATGCACAGCAGAGCGTCATGCTGCTGGATGCTGCAGCTGCGAAAGGGGGTCAAGTTGCGGTTTTGGCGGTACGATGATTTTGTGCGACGGTTGTTTGGGTTGCTGGTACAAGGGCAAGTGACAAGTGTGGTTGCAGTGCGGATTCGGTTACTTGGTTTTATGATGTGTTCGGTCTCACGTGCTCGAGTGATGCAGGCAGCTACTTGTCCTACCACGCAGTGTCACCGAAGCAAAGCCCGACGCCAAGCCCGACACCGTTGCCACCCGGCGTCGCGGTGTCTCCGACCCCGAGCCCGACTCCAAGCCCGACGCCAAACCCCACTCCAAGCCCGACGCGATCCGAAACTTCGAAAGTTTGCGGCTGCTCGAGCCCAGCTTGTGGTTGCAATTGCTGGCGCAAAGCAGTTGAACGCTGCATGTGCGACCATGGCTGTGGTTACTTCGATCTTGCAAAGTCTACGTGCGATGGCTGGAGTGGTTGCTGGCACGGCGGCCTGTGTGGTTGCAGTACAGATTCGTCTACTTGGTTCTACTATCGGGTATTCGGTCCCACGTGCTCGATTGAAGCGGGCAGTTATCTGTCCAATCACGAACACGATGCTGGCGAGTACTCTGCGGAGGAATCTCTTCCAGACGGCGCTACTGTGGAGCAACTTATGAGTTCCACCGCTTGTGTGTCCGCCAAGAAGACTGGACTGGATAGTACTTTGGACGTGCCCATTTCGACGTTGAGATCACGGGTCTGGCCATCACGACCTATCCCGATCGGTTCTTCGCTGCTGCCCGCCAGCTTTCGCGGGACTCGCACGTCACAGTGACCACGAGCTTCACGGTGCAGATCGTCGGCAGCAATAGCGCCGCGGCCCTCACTGCCGCGATTGCTGCAATGTCCGACACCACTTGAGGCCGAGACGACCCAATCTCTGGCTGCTTCTGACTGGAGTGCGTTACCCGTCTCACTGTCGCCCCTGCGTTGACGGCTCCCTCCGTGGGCGCAGCGGGCTCGACTGCGGGAATTACCACTGCTCCTACGCCGGCTCCCGTGATCATTGGGGCCAGCACGCGGCGCCGTCGCGGGCATTGGCGACCCGCACTTGCAGAACATCATCGGCGAGCGCTTCGACCTCATGCAGGCCGGCAGGCACCTTGGTCCAGATCCCAAGGGGCGCGCGCACCGAGGGCACTTTGCTGCACGCGGAGGCAGAGGCGCAGATGCACAGGCTCGGCGAGGCGTGCGCGGACATGAACTCCCGGGAACCGAACTTGATGGGAAAGCGGGCGCACTGGAGAAGCAGGTTGGCCGTCTCAGGTACCGCGTAGCAGAGGCCGTCACGGAGGATCCCAAGCGGGTGCAACTTTCGTAGGGTGGATCTCAGAGTCGCGCATGGACATGCTTTGGCGGGGATCCGATACATCAGCGTCTACGCGAAGCACTTGAACCGCGCCGGGTTCTCTGTCGGAGGTGTGTTGGGCGCGGACGATCACAGCAAGGCAGCGACCGCTCCTAGAGGCTGCAGGCATCGTCGAATGAGTTTGGCTGCAGGCATCGTCGAGCGAGTCTTTTTTGAAAACAGGGGGGTCTGCCCGAGCAGGCCCACCGTCTCCAGTCTGGGGCCCAGCTGGGCCCGCCTGGGCTCCCGGGTCCCGTTCGAGCCTCCTCCCGGGCTGGGCAGATTCCCGCACTGACTTCGCGGGGAGGCGCACGGCCAGTTCCGCCCCCGCACTCGGCGAGGCTGGTATGCGGCCGGCGTGGTGGGCAGCTGCGAGCCGATGAATCGATATTTCGACGCCCGCCTTCCCCTCCTCGTCCTCGTCCACGTCCTGGTCCTGGTCCTCCTCGTCGTTCTCCTCTCTTTCTCGCTCCTCTTCCTTCTCCTCTCATCACTCCTCTTGTCACCCTGACTCTGTTTACTCGGCTGCTGGCGTGACACCACGTGCACCTCGTTCGAAATCCCGAAGCTCGGTTGACGATTGTTTCCAGCCACGCGTTTGGACGAGGGTCTCTTCTCACTACTCTTCCTTGCCTCCCTCTCTTTTTCCTTCTCGCCTCCTCTCACTTATCAGTCACTCCTGCTCCGTCACAGGCATGGAGCACGGAGCACATGTGGGTCAGTCTGGCGCCGCGGCTGTGCAGAAGATACGTACCTCCGTCCTCTGGTACTGGATACGTCTCCTTTAGATATGTCAGAACGATCACGCATCCTGCTGCTGCTCCTCGTCCTCCCCATTCTCGCGTCCCCCTTGTGTTTCCAGAGCCGAACAGCTGTCTCGCTGCCTTATGAAGCCCATAGCTTGGGAGACTTTTGAACACTCCGCGGATCCCCGCCGGCCCATCCAGACACGATCCCCATGCGAGCTGCGTTGATAAGGGAAGTGTGGGAGCATGTTGCGGAACAACGAGTGGAGTGGGAGTCATCAAACCGAAGCCCAGGATCATCCTGAGTAAATCCAGGGGTCAACCATGAAGGCCGTCGCGGAACTTCCGATCTGTGAGCCTCTTGGGCGCTCCCCGGGGCCTGGTGCCATCTTGAGGCACTCTTGGGGACGTTTGGGAGGCAAGTGGGACTCTCTTGGGTCCTTCTTGGGCGCATCGGGGGACCTCGTAAAGCCATTGTGGAGGACACCGATCAAAAAATGTCGGGTCCTTCATTAGCGCTTCCCTTCTGGGTCCCAAGGCTCTTGACGTGGGGCCGCCTTGGAGCCCTTCAGGGCCCCTCCCAGAACTCTCTCGGGTGATCTTGGACCCAGATTGCTGCCTCAGACGCCCATCGGTAGCGAAACGGCGAGACGGCACGCATCATTGAATCGCTTTCGGCGTTGTAAGGTTTTAGCTTTTTGAGGGGTATCCTTGGGAGGCTCTGTGGCTACTCGAGGCCCACACCCTTCACACGCCCAAGGTGTTTCCGAAGATGCCCACGCCGAACCACGGCCGGCCCTGCCTTTTTGAAACGCCTACGTGGCCAGATCGTTTGGCCAACGTCTGGGGACTATGCGCTCCCCATCTGGGAACACATGGGGTAAGAATAGAGAGAGAGATGATATGATGATGCTGATGACGATGATGGGAATGATGATGATGATGATGATGATGATGATGATGATGATGATGATGATGATGATGATGATGATGATGATGATGATGCTGGTAATGGTAATGATGATGCTGCTGATGATGATGGTGATGGTGATGACGATGATGATGGTGATGGTGATGATGATGCTGATGCTGGTGATGATGATGATGATGATGAGGATGAGGATGAGGATGATGCTGGGGATCAATATGATGATGATGATGATGATGATGATGATGATGATGATGATGATGATGATGATGATGATGATGATGATGATGATGATACTGATACTGATACTGATCCTTATGCTGATGATCGGAGGTTGGGGGATGAGATCGCAGTGAAACGGAGACCCCCTACCGGGAAATCGGTTTCGGTATCGTGTTCGTGTCGTGCGTGCGGGCGAGGCGAAGCTGCGCGTGATCCTCTTGTAGCTAGGCCGAAGTAGGAGCGAAAGTCCATTCCCGTCCGCCGGTGGCTGGGAGGTGTCCCAGTTGGGCCGGGCGGTGTCCCGGGTGTCCCGGGTGTCAATAGGAGCGAAAGTCAGTTTCCCGTCCGCCGTTGGCTGGGAGGTGTCCCAGTTGGGCCGGGCGGTTTCCCGGGTGTCCCCGGTGTCCCGGGCGTCCTGGCGTTAATGCATGTCGCTAATTTCATAATTATTTGTTTTCGGCGCCTGCGGCGGGCTTTCTTATCCAATCCAGCTTATCTTATCCAATCTATCTTGTCCAATCCAATCCATCTTATCTTGTCCAACCCATATTGTCCAATCTTATCTTGTTCCACCCAATCCAATCCACTCAACCCACTCCATCAATTCATTTGTTTCTGCGCCTGCGGCGGGCCAATCGAATCCATCCTATCTTATCCAATCAATTTCTTCCAAACCAACCCATCTTATCTATCCAATCCAATCCACCCAACTCAATCCATCAATTCATTTTTTTTGTTCGGTGCCTGCGGCGGGCTTTCTTATCCAATCCAGCTTTCATTTCTAAAATCAGTCTTGTCCAATCTAATCCATATTATCTTATCCAACCCATATTGCCCCATCTTATTTTATCCCACCCAATCCGACCCATCCAACCCAATCCATCAATTCATTTGTTTCTGCGCCTGCGGCGGGCCAATAGAATCCATCTTATCTAATCCAATCTGTTTCTTCAAAATCAACGCATCTTATCTTTTCCAATCCGCTTTATCCCATCCAATCCAATCCACCCAACCCAATCCATCAGAGAAAGAGAGAGAGAGAGAGGGCGAGAGAGAGAGAGAGAGACACAGAAAGAGAGAGAGAGAGAGAGACAGAGAGAGAGAGAGAGAGAGAAATATAGATATGATATTAAGGTGACAGGCTGGAGGTCAGTCAGGGTGGGCATTTGATCTCAATCCCCCCCACCTCCTTATCGCCCGCAGGGCGGTCGTATGGGTATAATGCTGATGATTATGATGAGGATGATGATGAGGACGAGGATCAGGATGAGGATGAGGGTGATGATGATGATGACGCTGCTGCTGATGATGATGATGATGACGACGAGGAGGAGGATAATCTGGAGGAGGATAATGGTGACGAGGAGGAGAGGTAGGAAAAGGTGGAGGCCACTTGAAGGTCTTGGGAGCCTCGTGTGGGCCTCTGCGGGCATCTTGGAGGCCACTGGCGCCGTCCTAGGCCTCTCTTGGCCGTCTGGCGCCTTTGGAGGCTATCTTGAAGCCCTCTCTGGGCCCTCTTGGGGCGATGTTGGGCTGTCTTGGAGTTCTCTTGGGCCGTCTTGGGGCTCTCTTAGGGTCTTAGGGCCGTCTTGGGGGCCTCTTGGGCCGTCGTCGGACTCTGTTGGTAGTAAGTCTTGGGAGATTCTGGGGCCGTCCTTGGGGCTATCTTGGAGGCCTCTGGAGCTGTCTGGGGTTGTCGGAAACCCGACGAGGCGTGAACGCGCAAACGTGTCAAACGCTATTGGGAAATCCATAGATTTGGTCTCAATGGCCAAAACTATTGATTTCCACTTCGTTTGGTTGGTTGGATGATTTGTTCCAATTACGATAGTGCACCTTGACAAATGGGACGACGCGGACCCAGGACATTCTGATGGAGGCCGGGACGCCATGTGATGTGCTGCACATTCTCGTACGCCTTGCGCAGTCGAGTGCATGGATGAGCCGTGAGGAGGAGTTTGCTGAGTTTTCCTTGGGGTTTTGCTGCCACGCATCGTTCCCATGTTTCGTCTCAATCGGGGCGCTTCGGCCCCTCCCCGCGGCACCCTCGCAGTGCATTCTTGCAGGTCGCTGGAAGGCCAGCCCTCTTGGGCCGGAGCCCTCTTGGGCCGTGTCGGGGGGCCTCTTGGGCCGACTTGATGACATCTTGGGCCGTCTTGGAGCCATCTGAGACCGTCTTGGGACAACTTTTGCCGTCTTGAAGGTATCATGGGACCGTCTTCGAGGCCATCGTGGCCATCTTCGAGGCCGTCCTGAGACATCCTGGCCGTCTTGTAGACCTAGTTGTTCGCACATGATAGTTATTCCTGGTGGTTTGCGGCAGTTTCTGAGTGGCTCGCGGGTTGCGCTGGAGGACACCGGGAATTTTTGGGAAGAGCATTCAATACTCATGAACAAGGGCGCGCCAAGCATCCCTCGGGTAAGCCAAAGTGGGTGACGGGTTGAAGATGCCTACGGCGAACCATTGCGCCCTTTACCTTTTGAAAGGTTTGGCCAAAGTCTGACCAAACTATTGGACGATCACGTGTTCTGCCAGCCGTTGTGGAAACTCTTGGGTGAACATTTGGGGGATTCAGAGATGAGGAAGAGGAGAAAGAGGAGGAGGAGGAGGAGGAGGATGAGAAGGAGAAGAAGGAGGGGCAGGAGGAGGAGGAAGCGGAGGAGGAGAAGGGGGAGTAGGGGCAGGAGGAGGAGGGAGGAGGAGGGGGAGGAGGAGGGGGAGGAGAAGGGGGAGATGGCTCTGGGGCGCCTTGACCCCGCTAGTGGCCCAGCTACCTGGTGTCACCACCCTGTGGGGCACGGTGGCCCGTGTTGCCGCGCCTGGAACGGCTGTGGCCGACGTTTCCCCCTCCGGGGCCACCTAATCAGGCCAGTGCCGCGCCTGCAACGGCTGTGTGACCGACTCGGGGCCACCGAAGCAGGCCAGAGGGGGAGGGAGGGAAGAGGAGGAAGAGGATGAGGAGGAGGGGGAGGAGGAGGAGGAAAGAGAGGAGGACCAGAGAAAACCCACGATGCATCAGCGATGCTGCAATGCACCCTCCCGCCCCGAGGCCTCCCTTTACCAGTACCCTATATGCCTTCCTTTTCACCAGGAGAAGTGCCCCCCCGTAAAGAACAGCACCATATGTGGGCTTGCCAGTTTAGCGAGGTCACCGCTTCAGAGAGGAGCCTGCCTCGCATCCCTCTGGCGCGAACCCGGGAACGCGAGAAGCTAGGATCGTGCAGTTCAGCGAGGTGTCCAGCGAGATCCCCCTCTCGAAGAAGAGCCGCCCCCCCATCCATGCAACTGTTGCACGGTATCCGTGGCCCCATAGGGCTCTCCACCAAGGGCCTCTGTGGTGAGTTCTCGTGCGCCCGCCCGGCCCATTCTCGCTGGAACCACCTGTTTGCATGTCCCCAGGCCGCCCAGAATCGTATCCAACATGGCGGCCTCGAGCTGGAACCACCTGGCTTCACGTTTCCAGGCCACCCAAAGGGGCAACCGCAATGATGATACCGAGCTGGAACCACGTGTTTTCAAGTGCGCTGGCCACCCAGATGGGTATCGAACATGCTTGGCCCGAACTGGAACCAAGTGTTTTCACGTGTGCGGGCCACCCAAGAGGGGTATCCAACATGTGGTCGCACGCCCCCCCCCCAGCGTGGAGGCCCACACGAGCCAGACACAATCACTACATCGACGCTAGGCGTGGAATAGCCTGACAAAGCGACAGAGCTTCTTCGGCTGGTGAGTTTCCAGAGTTTCATTGGGATATCAAGCATGGTGGCCCCGAGCTGGAACCACGTGTATTCACGTGTCCAGGCCACCCATGTGGATATTTAACCTAGTGGTCCCGAACTGGTACCGCGGACGCGGTCGTCGCTGTCCGCCGTCGTCGTCGTCGGCGTTTCGGCCCGCCCCTATTCAATTCATTTCGCCTCAGTTTGGCTCCGCCCTTCTGATTTCGCCTTGTTGCGAAACAGAATCCTTGCATAAGGTCTCGATTGCAATCAGTTTTGGGTGAGCAGTGCGCCCAGACAGCTCGAGCTTGAGGTCCAGCTCAGGTCTGCCAGGATTCGGATGCCAGGGAATATTTGTACCACGACGCAGCCGAGCACAAAACTGTTCAGATTCGGCCGCTTTCGATTCGCCCTGCTTCCGAACTGAAGTGGGTCTCGAGCTCGAGCTGGTCGAGCGCCCTTCGCGTTTCGATTGCGGCCAGGTCTGAGTTATGCGTTCAGGCAGCTTCAGCTCGAGATCCAGATCAGTTAGTTCGGGATTATCACGCCACGGGCGATCTGATCCACAATGCAACAGAGCACGGCACTTCAGTGCGGCACATCGCGTCTCAGTTCATCACAGCACAGCACAGCACAGTCCACGGCAATGTACATCACCATCACTACCTTTAGCATTGCAATTTCCCGCAGCTCAATTTTTTGTCTTGAGCAAGTGCCAGGCTTCACAGGCGCGGGATGTTCACAGACGTTGTGATGCACGGGAGCAGTATGGTGTACGCAGGCGCTGTGGTGCACGCGGCTGCTGTGCTGCACGCAGGCGTTGTGGTGTACGCAAGCGTTGCCGTGCAGCAGAATGGATATCAGAGGAGGAGGGGCAGAACGATCAGGAGGAGGCAGAAGGGGGAGTAGGAGGTGGGAGTAGGAGGTGGGAAGGGGGAGGGAGCCAGCTAGCAGCATGCTCGCAGCTTGGTGGCCCCACTGTGGGGGGTGGGGCCTGCGGGCTCTCTCGTTGTCGTCCGTTGTTGCCTCCGGCCGCAGACAGTTCGCTGCCGCAGAGAAGGCCCGGCGGCGACCCCAGCGCGGGCGTACAGGACTGCGACGCGCCCGGGGGGGCCTTTCGGGCTCCGGGATCTTTAGAAACGCACCCACGGTGCGAAATCATGGTTCAATCTTGGGCCGAGAGCCTTTGGTTGAGCAGATCGCTCAAGATTGCATGATCCACGCGGTGCTAGAAATTACTTTCCAAGGCGTCACGACATACACACACACACACCGTACAGCCGACGCCCCACGTCCTCCTGCCTTCCCCCACCTCGCACCTCCCGCCTCCCACCTATCCGCAGCCATTTTGGCTCGAGCTGGCAACCCTGCGCGTGGGCATTCGTGGGTGTCGTGCCCATGCGGACAGTACTTCTCACTTTCATGTCGCACCACCTACACCCTGTCACTTCCTGCTGGCCACGCCAGCCTTGACTGCATCAGGGAACCGACTTTTGGGTGGAGTGCGAACCTTGGTATCAGCCGAAGATGGCGGAAACTGCTGCTGCTGCTGCTGCTGGCGCTACTCCTGGTGGGACCGTTCCAACGGGGCCCTTGGCAAAGCTGGTGGCGGAAGGCGTCCACCGAAGGCTGCCAAGGTGGGGGAGCTCCCTGGTGACGACGTGCCCTCGATCTTGAGGACCATCAATGGTTCCTTGCAGGCACGCTCCCACCAGCTGGCCCACGTGCAATTGGCGATCGCGGCCGTCCTGGGCATGCAGACAAAATTCACGACCCTTGGGCAGCGAATGGACGACCTCGAGGCCCGTATCGCCGCTCCCCCCGCGGACGGCAGCACCGACAGTCCACGAGAACCCTGAGTTGCTGAAGGATGTCGACGAGCGCCTCGGCAAGCTGGAGGCGCCCCCGGCCGTGCCTAATGCTCCACCAGCCGGCACTCGCGTTGGTTCGGCGGCGTCCTCCGACGGGTCCGACCGCTTCCCGCAGGCCATCCCATGCAAGATCTGGGTGATGGTGTTCCCGCAGCTGGTCACCGGGCCTGTGCTGCACGCCCATGGCGCCACTGTGCCGAGCAAATTGCAGGAGGGCGTCCGCAAGGAATGCCGCATCCGAAGCTCCAACTTCAACACTTTGTACACGTTCCCGAACGCCGACCTCGCGAAGGGGATCCTGACGAAGGCCAGGGGCGAGGGTCTGCAGTGGACGGGTCCCGCAAACCAGAGGCACCCCGTGATGGCAAAGCCAGACACCCCGGGGAACATCCGACAGGCCAACCGCGTCTTTGGCCAGCTGTTGAAGGTCACGCTGACCCACATGCAGAACACCCAGCTGATGCGCGAGGGCTGCAAGTTGGGAACCAGCCGAACCGTGGGCACATGTATCTGATCTGCAGTGATGTCGACTGCCGCCTCCTCTGCAAGATCGAGCCTGGGGACGGCGGGCAGTACGTGATCGCACCGCAATTCGCTGCCCTCGCGGCCTTTGAGGTCACGCCGACCCTCGCGGCTGAGCACGTCGCCTAGGTCACACAGCCCAGGCGTTGACGAACACGTGGCGTTCATGATTTCATGATGATGACGGTCACGCTCGGGATCCTTGTCCTCTATGCCCTCACGCTCGTCACGCCCTTCTGATCAGGTTGGTGCTGGTAGTGGAGACTCGTCTGCAGCGGGGTTACCTGAGTCCGTAGACATCGAGCGTTTGCTCGCTGTGTGCCGTCACGCCTGTACGTCATCCTTGCATGAGAGCAGAATTCAAAATGAAACTGGTAGCAATGATCGTCGTCACCGTTCTCGTTCGTCCTACTCCTCATCTCGTTCTTCGGCCTCGTCTGCTTCATGTGGGAGCGCTGGCACGGAGAGGTCTGGTAATTCCAGTGGACCTTCGTCCCCTGGCGCGGGAAGTAGGATCACGTCCTCAGTTCCGACCTCCCCTTCGCTTTCTTCCCTTGGGCCATGCGGCGCTGAGGTCAGTCGCCCTCTACCTTCCGGTGCACTCCCTGAGCGTCGTCACCTGGAGCTTGTGTTCTGCTCTCGGTGCTCTGTTTGGCTCGCAGTCAAGTGAAAGTTGAACAAATACATCGGATCGGTCAGGAGCTTTGGGGGCACACTGGGTGTCTAGAGGCCTTCTGTGCCAAGGTATTCGGTCTCACTGGATTTGGGAGCTTTGGCAGCGGTTCCAATGTCGGAGGCGTGGCGATATTCGTTCACCCTAGATTGCGGTCGGTTTTCATTCACACCTCTCACCGAGAAATCGTCGATGGGCGGATCCATTCTTTGGTTTTCCAAGGGCAGGACGGGGCTCTTCAGATGTTTCATGTCAACTTGGACCCTGAGCTTCCCGTATCGATGCGGAAATCCCAAGTTGACTTGGTCCGAGGTGCCATGGAACCGGTCTCGAAGGCGACGGTCTTGGTCGGCGGGGATTTAAATCGCCTCGGACTTGGGGAAGGGCGTTTTACTGTTGGCGGGGATGTGTCGTTTCCTACCCACGGGCTTGGGCGCTATTTCCAGCGGCTGTTTCCTGCCCTGTGTGAAGTGGAACAAGCCAAATTTACGCCTCAGGTGGTCAGGCATGTCGGGGTGAAGCGGGTTCTGCATTTTGTTGCCCGTCTGGATCGGATCTACATTTCGATCCCGACGGGGTCTTTAGTCGACCTGCACCCCCTTTTCTGGAGTGATTGGAGGCACTCATGACCTCGATGAGTGATGCGATCATGTTCCCGTTGTTTTTCCCCTGCGCGCAGTTAGTGGGCAAAAACGGAGGTCGGTCATCCCGCCGTGGATTCCGAAGTCTGTTGGGTTCGGGGATGCGCTCCGGGCGATCGTGCAGACCTCTGCGCACCTCTCTTTTGATCCGGGGGCCGCTATACTGGAAGTCATTGAAGCCATGCGTTGCGTGGTCAGAAAGGTGAGGAGGAGGAAGAGGCATCCAGTGCTCCACCAAGAATGGAGCAGCATCTTGGTTCTGCAAGCAGTGCGGCAAGGCGTATGACAAGTATCTAAACACGAAGCAGAGGCAGTCGTCTCGGCAGTCCTCAAGGCATTCCGAGAAGAGGAACAGCCATGACAAGAGAGAAAGATCGACAAGCAGAAAGCGCAGTGTGGGCCCAATCAGGAAGACAATCAATGATATCGGCCCCGTACACGTGTCACTTGCAAAAGTATCCGACAGCTGGGTGGACCCTCCAAGCACATCGGACCCTGATCAGTTGAGCCTTTTCAAGAAGAAGCAGTGGAAGCGGATCTACCAGCTGGGAGAACTTATTAATTCATTGCGGGTTGCTGGCAAATCGGCAGCAATCGAAACTTTCGAGGTGTCAGTGTTGAAGACGGGGATCCTTGCCCTGCTGCCTGTCGCCGAGCAGGAAAAGTCTCTCAGCAAACGTGCAAGTATTGTTCGAGAGAAGTTGTCAAAGGTCGAGAAGCAGTTGGCGGAGTTGGTCAATGCGCGTGAGGATCTATTCAAACAATCGGTAGAAGTCAAAGAGCAGTTCAAGTATCTCGGCACCAAGCTCGACCAGCACCTCAGCGAGGACATGGGTACGCACATGGAGGTTGATCAGGCAGCAGACGCCTGCCCCCCACCGCCACCGCCACCAACTGCGAGGCCCAGGGTCACCCCTGCGGCCCCAGTGGCTTGCCAGCCAAAGGCGGTGGGCAACCCCCTGCCGCCGCCGCCCCCTGTGGGACAACCAGCGAAGGCCAAGGAACAATTGGAACAGCCAGATGCTTTCACGAAGATCACGGCCTCGCTGCAGCAGATCCTAGACCAGCAGAAGCAGCAGGCGTCCGAACTCAGAGTTGTCCAAGCGGAGTCGAGAATGCAGCCCAAGAAGCTTGAGTTCTTATACGTCCAGTTTGCCAAGGGTGAGCAGGTAATACCGCTGGCGCAGCCAACGCCACCGCGTATCCCCCAGCAGCAACATCCAGAGGCCGCACAACAGCAAGTGTTCGGGCGTGTTCAGGCTTCTCCTGTGGTGGTTAACTCGCAGACTCAAGGTGCTAGCCCACACGACACTCCTCCACAAGCTACGCAGCATGCAGGATGTGGTATTGCGAGGCCAGTTTCAGACAGCTCGCAGATTGAGCCCACGGGGCCAGTCGACTCACTGGATCATTATCATCAGGTCAGCAAACGCCAGCAGGACGAAGCAAAAGCAGAACTTGAGCAACGTATTATTGATCAGCGTGCCCAGGCCTCGGATTACCCAGTGAATGGCAATACTCTTAGCAGCGACGGCTACCATTAAACATTGGACTATGAGATTGAGCAGGAATGGAAAGATAGGGATATCGACGAACTCGAGGCGAAAAGGGCATTGGAGGAACAGGCCGAGCAGCATCAGACGCAGATCGACGCCGAAGCCGCGGCAGCAGCTGCGCCTGTGCCCCCGCCCCCTCCTCCGCCTCCGCCTCAAGGTGCAGTGCAGGCTTCGTCCCCGCATTGGTGGTCATCATCTTCATCTAGGGTCCCTGGTACGTCGCAGCAGCTCGGCCCAGCACATTTTGACATGACCAAGTGCGATGCAAAGACTGAGGAGCGCAAAGGCTCTTCTACGAGAAGCAGGTCGGACCAAGATCGGGCGGAACGCATTCGACGTAGCAAGCCAGAGGGCCTGGGCAACTCCGAGGTGGTGCGCAAGGAGGCGGGGTTTCATATACCCCCAGGGGCTCCCGCAGGGGGGGGGGGGCCTAACGTCTAGCAACTTCAGTAGCGTGCAGCGGCATGGGGCTGTCCGATTTGCCCATGCCATTGAGCTGCACGCGTACGTCGACGCGAATGGGGTCTCCGCCGGCGACAATTCACACAGTGTAAGCCACCATGAAGCAGCGGGTGGTGATGCGAGTGCGTACCGCTCTGGACATGCATCTACATCGAGCACCGAATTTACCGTGGCCCCTGACGGCACGCACTGCTCAGCACCAGAGGCTGCCAGAGAGTGCCGACCGCCGAGTAGCCCTCGCGCTCTCGGTGGCGCGCACTGCTCAGCAGCCAATATGGGCGCCAGAGAGTTCCGACCGTCGGGGCAGCCACAGCACCGCCAAGAGGCTTTGGGGTGCAATGCTATGCTACCCGTCCCTCCTCAAGCGCCACTGGGCGAAACGAGGGGGCCGTTTACCCTAGATGTATTCAACTGCATGTTCGGCACAATTGCTACGAATACGAATTCTTTTGATGTTGGTGATGTGGCTTCGAGTGCACCTGCCCAAAGGCAGCATTATCCTGGTTCTGTGCCCAACGACTACAACCAGTCCGCGGACCCTACAGTTATTCAGACAGGGTGCCCTACAACTTGCAAGTTTCAGCATGTTCCTACTATTCCAGAGCTTTTTGGTCAAATACAGTGGCGGATTGAGCTCTCATGGGGCTACCGCGGGATGCAGTTGCACCCCTTTGCTGACCTTGCTCTTCGCATGCACCCGCCTCGTCCAAGTGCGGGCGCTGCCATTCACCATGTATATACCGATGCCTCTCTCCGTCTCTCACCCCCCCCCCCCGAGCTGGCGGCGCCCGCGTTGGCCCATGTCATGCAGGACTCTCTGGGGCTTGCGTGTCTGGGCTATGTGGCTGCGCGGGCCTCGTCAGCTCACTCCATCGCCGACATGAACGGCACCCCCCGCAGCGCCGAGGTTGAGCTTCTTGGTGCAATGTGGGCAGCTATATACGCACTACCACTTCCATGGGAGGGGCAGGTCTACATCGTTTGCGACAATATGGCGGCGGTGGACAAAGCTTCGAATCGTGTCAGGCTGGGTTCTGATCTGGATAAGCTGGCGGCTACCGTGCTCAACGATGTGCAGCGTGTCCGTCCAATCAAGGTCATGCAGGAGCTTGGCCATCAGGATTTTCCATGGAACGAAGCAGTCGACCCTAGTTCACGTCACTTCACAAAGGAAACCAATGTACCACCAGCTCTACCTGAAGGTCCCGTAAGAGCATTATGTTATACGGTATACGCAGAGTGGCAGTTTGCAAGATTGCTGGGTCCAAGCACCTCACCTTGCCTTCGTTTCATTAATCATGGTTTCCACTGCAACGTTGCAAAGCAGAAGGTTGCACCGCGCAAGGACATCGGTGAAGAGGAGCTGGCCGTTGCACGGGCTCCCACTAAGGTGAACTACAAAGTGGCCACCTTCAACAATGTGAGCATTTGTGCTGGAGAGGACACCGCAGTAAAAGATAGTGCACACAACGTGGCCAGATTTTAGGGCCAACGTGCTCGTGCTCAACACCTACGGCTTCAATTGAAAGATGAGGCAGTCTTAGTGGCAGGTATTCAGGAATCCTCATACCCCAAAGGGAAGTTCGAGACCGACGGCTTCCTGGCTATCAAAACAGGCTCGGGGTCAAAAGGATTGGGCTGCACATTATTAATCAGACGCGAGCTGCCATATGCCAAAGGCCAAAAGGGGCATATTAAAATTCTATCTGGGCACACACACGTTTTACATGGTGTGGAGAGGTTCCTGCTGGTCAAACTGAAGGCCCCCATGCTGGAGCATGCAATTGCTGTTCTCCATGCACCTCATCATAAACGCGGCACTCTTGACCCCCCTGTTCATGTGCGTCAACGGTGGAGGGAAGTACGTGAGATTCTTGACAAGTACCCACCATCGATTATTCTTACGGATGCCAATGCACGAGTGGGCAGGGAGATCACAACTGTATCAGGACACGCTGGACCACAAGACCCAACGGACTTCAGTGGACTGGAGCTCCAGAAGTTGGCCAGCCAGTGCGACCTGATGATCACCAACACTTTTATCCCTCACAACCACACCCCCACACGTTTCGCGCAAAGTGCGGCACCCTGCATCGGCTTGACTACGTATTCCTACACAGAGCAGTTCACGAGTGCGCATCGCTGTGCTATGTTATGAATGACTTTGGCTTCGCCACCAAGTCACCTGATCATTGGCCGTTGATCGTCTCCATCGCTGCTGCTAAGCTTTATGTCTCTCCTGAGCCTGGTCGGCCGAAGTTGGACAGGCGCAAGCTGGCCGACCCAGTCAAGCAGGAGAAGTTCCAACGTATGCTGCAGAACCTACCAGCTGCCACATGGGATACTGACATCAACTGCCAAGTGGAGGACTTCAGCGATGTTGTCGCCCAAGGTACTCGTGAGCTTTTTGCTGAGGATAAGTTCTCCCCGAGGAAGCCGTACATCAAAACAGGTACTATGGCACTTATCAGGCTCCGCAGGTACATTAAGCGTGCCCATCGGGCAGCTCTCGGTCAATCGTGGAGGCCGGTTTTTCTGCTGGCGCGTCTCCTCCCCAAGCAGCTGGAGACTTTCGTGTGCCTGGCGAACGGCAACGACAGGAGACTACCACATGTGCCATGCCCGTGGGCCCAGCACATGCATTTACTTAGCATGGCATGTGACTTGTTCCAGGCGGAGGAGTTGTCTATCGAGGAGCTGCTTGGGGCCGCGGATATCTTCATGAAGGAAACATCCCCTATGTTATCCTGGTGCCTGCGTCGGGACAAGAAAGATTTCCTTTCTCAGATGGCTACAAAGATTGGTGCGATGGCGATTCTCCACGACGGGCACCATGAGTGGCTTTGGCTGCATAGGCTTCTCAGGTTTAATGGCAAGCTTGCCAAGAGCTGCGACCGCACACTGCTTCCTCAGAAGTTCAACCACGAAGGCCTGCCGATTACTTCTGAGCGTGAGTAGTCAGCTTCCCTCAGGCAGCATTTCGCGCAGCTGGAGGACGGGATCGAGGTTGCTGAAGATGAGATCCGTTCCCAATATAATGAGCTCCCCACAGTCCACGCATCACATATCGCGAGGGAAATCAGCTCCATTCCACCACCCTCCTGGCTAGCTACGAGGCTTCGAGGGGTGAAAGCTCATCGTGCACCAGGACGCGACACCATCCGGAACGCTGTCCTCAAGGTTGCCCCCGAAGCCGCACTTCCGCACCTACTGGCTATTACTACAAAGACGGGGCTACTGCTACAAGAAGCGGCCATGCACAAGGCTGGTTTGGCGCGTGGTCTGCGCAAGGGCAAGTCAGGGGGGATCGCCGCTGAGATGTACCGTTCAATTATGTTAAACTCTGATGTGATCAAGCACCACCATGCCTTCCTGCGGTCGGCCCTGGCGAAGAGTATCAAGTTCTTAATGGTGGATTGACAAACCGGAGGTATTCAAGGTCGTTGTGCTGGCATGGCGTCTCAGATGATCAGAGTCTTCCGTTAGATCGCGAAGGCCGAGAAGTTCATTGCCATAGTTATTTTTGTTGACCTGGTGGCGGCCTTCTATTCCCTTTTGCGGCAGGCAGGCATGCCATTGGCGGGCGCCGAAAAATATGTGGATCAGGTACTGGAGGACGCGCCTGCAATTGCTCACCCTCTTCTAGAAGCAGCTCTCTTTGCACCGGTGCTGCTCGACGAACGTGTTGACCAACATCTAGTGGCGCAGGTTATTGAAGCCCATAGGCGTGCACATTTCCGCGTGCCCGGAGATAAGCAGTGGGTAGTCTCCCAGAAGTTCCAGAGCAGGCAATCCCCTGGCCGACTTTTTCTTCAATGTGGTGTTCGCTCGGCCGTTGCGGGGCATCAAGAACGACATGCGTGAAGCTGGTATTGCCCTGGACCTCAAGGAATGCTTGGAGGGTTCTGTTCGTGCTTTTTTCTCAAGGAATTCCCTTAGAAGAGGATGCCTTCACCGATGCCACATTTGTTGATGACTCTGGTTTATGCTCCCCATGTTACGACCCCAGCGCCATCAGGGACCAAGTGGCGACGTTAGGCCGTATTATCCGCAGACAGATGGTGGGATCAGGGTTCAAGGTACACTTCGAAAAGGGGAAGACGGCTGCAGCTATTTCATTTAATAGTGAAGGCACGCAAACAGCAAGGAGGGAGATGGCTAACATTGCGGCAGTGGCTCTAGACAACTCTTCTGGTGACCGCATCTCGATCGAGTACTCATATAAGCATGTGGGCAGCATATATTCTGGTGACGGCAGTATTGGTAGGGAGATATCCCGCAGGAGGCAGAAGCATGCAGCTGCCCTGCGGCCACTCGGATCCGCCGTGGTCAAGCATAACATCGAGATGAAAGACAAGCTGAAGTATGTTTACGCCCTATGCGGTACCCATCTGTTCTTTCAGGCAGAAGCCTGGGATCGCTTGTCAGCTGCGGCCGCCACAAAGCTGAACCATTCGCTGATATTGGGATATAGGGCTGTCACGAAGAAATTACATGATGTATCCACTGGCCAGAGAACGTTGGATGCCGAGGTCCTTGCAATTGCCAATAGGTTGGAGTATTTGCACATACTATGTTTTCGTCGATTGAGGTACGTTGCTAGACTGCTACATAATGGCTCGCCTACCCTCAGATTGATACTGGATGCCACAGTGGGTATACCAGCGGCTTGGGCCACACTGGTTATTGAGGACTTCACCTGGATGAGGAGATACTGCAATGAGGGCCCTGAACAAGATCCTAGTTCCGATGATGGCATAGTTACCTGGATGCAATACGCTGCCAAGGACATCAAGGCTTTCCAACGACACCTGCGGAAGGCATGGGATACTTTTCAAAACCAGCAGCTGGAGTTATTAAGAAACTCTTATCTTGTTCGGATGACCAAACAGATTTATCCAGAATTGATTAACAATTGCGGGGATGATCAAGAGCAGATGAGATTATTCTGCTAGCAATGCAATCAGTCTTTTTCGTCAATCGCTGGGTATCGCGGTCACCGGACCCGTGTGCATCAGCCAGCAGACCCAGCGCAATTTTACGCCGATGGGTCAGAGCGTCAGTGGTGTGGGGCTGTTTTCTACGATCGTGCGGGGTTGCTACGGCATTTGCGCAGACCAACGGGAGCTTGCCTGGGTATCTCGATGTCTTGCGTCGCGCCTTGGGATGATGACGCGGTTGGGCAGTGGGTGGAGCTGGACAGGGAGCAGGCCATGGAGAAACGGAAGTCAGGACTTCGTGCAGACGCGCAGCTCAGGCCTGCCCTCCCTGGACTCAGGCAGCCAGCTGTTCCCGATGTGCGCCCGTTGCCACCGAATGTTGTACTTCCCCCTGAGCAGCATGTGCCGCCCCTGCCTAGAGCTGGGACCAGGGGTCACGCGCTGGTGCTGCGCATGGGATGGGGGCCAAGAACAATCAATGATTTTTCAGATATTATGGGTAAGGGAAATGGTTTTTTCCAGTGTGCCGTACTTTATTTGGATTGTGAAGACCCGTGTGTGACCACTAGGCTGGAGTGTATTTTTTTCCTGGATAGGATGTTACGTTGGATTCAATCTGGTGTTGTGCTGGGAGTTATGGTTACACCCCCGTGGGCATCATGGCATGCGACGTTCCGACGGGCTGGCGACGTCGGCGAGCTCGCACGACCTGCATGCCATCCTTGGGGTACCGATCTTGTTCCTGCATACTGGGCCAAGAAGCTGCGTAGAGAGAATGCTGGGATCAGGGCAGGCTCGCTGCTCCTGGCCGCCGCAGCCGCTGCAGGCTCTGTGGGACTATTGCTGCATTCTGTCCCCAGGGCCGACTACGCTGCGGATATATGGAGTACTGAAGTCCTGTGTTCCCTGGCAGGTCAACCCGAGGCAAGTGTTGAATGCTTTGACCTCGGGGGTTTTGGTCTACCTCAGCGAGCAGTTGGCCGAGTATTGGCGCTCCATTGCCCGCAAGTCTCGGAGCTGATGCAGCAGCGGGGCCTCGCGGTTCAACCGACGGGTGTACTGCAGAGTGATGTTTGGTTGTATCCCAGTGGCATGTGGGAGCTGGTGGGGGAGGCTATGGTGTTGGCACAGCCTGCACTGCGGAGCGACGCTGCTGTGGGCCACGCCGACGACTCCGAGTTTCTGCCTTTTCCTCGCCCCACCCGAGAGGTATCCAGACCCGCCGGACGAACCACAAGGGTACGAGCCTGTCGAAGGATCGCTCGTGCTGCCTGAGGGGCTCCCTGATACTGTGCTCGGTGGCTTTCCTCACATGGAGGCCCAGCGTGGTGGCGAAATCGGCAGGGGATGAAACAAACCCCAGCGCCACCCCGCTGGGCCTTTGGTGCTGCCTGCAGTGTGGAGTACATTGCTGTGATACTGCACAGGATATTCAATTTCATGTGTGTTCTGATGTCCGCCATCGTGGCAGTGGTGTGGTACGGCCCAGTGTGGTGGCGAAAGCGGCGGGGATGTGACAAACCCCTTGCGCCGCCCCGCTGGGCCACGGGCGGCGATTCGCCTGGCCGTGTGCCGTGCGCTGTCTGGGCGCAGCCGCTGTGGTTCGCCATCGTGGAGGTGAGCCTTGGGCGGGGGTCCGCCTGGCCGTGTGCCGTGTGCTGGCTGGGCGCCGCTGCCGAGGTCGCGCCGCACGCCGTATCCATAGTGGGCGCCTGGCGGTGGGACCTTACACGCAGGAGCCCCACGAGATGGGGCGTTTCGGATGCATGTGGACTCCGCGGGGCATCCGCCCCCTTGGGATGGGAGAGAGAGAGAGAGAGAGAGAGAGAGAGAGAGAGAGAGGAGGAGGAGAAGGAGGAGGAGGAGGAGGAGGAGGAAGGGGTGAAGAAAACAGAAGAGCGGCCGGGGGCTTAGACGGCAGAGGAGCGGCCTTCCTGGGCCCCGGCTGCCCTGCGTGCTTCTCGGGCCCTGGACGTTGGTGTGCTGCGTCGTGCCTGCCGCGCTTCCCCTGCTCTCGGGGGAGTATTCTGTCTTAGCGCGTGTCAGCTGACCGATTCAGTGGGGTTTTATGCATGTCTCTCTCGTCAGAATAGAGAACGCTTCGACAAGGCAACTACCTATGTGAATGCTGACGACGTGATCCGGGTCAAACGAAAACACATAAGCTGAACATGATGTGTCATCATCACGGCGCCTGGAATGATCGGAAGTGCGTTTACACTGGGAGCTGTTGAGGACCCGCTTGGTAATGCCATCGTGGATCCCGCGCTGGCGGCCCAGGAGCTTGCTAATTATTTGGGCCAGGTCCATGCCGAACTCGCCGGTGATAACGACGCTCGGGGAGAATGCCGCGACGTCGTGATTCCCGCACCGTTCTTGCCAGAGTGGACATAGTGTTACGACGAGTTCATTATGATCTTGGCTTCGACATCTGATTCTAGCCCAGGCCCCGACGGGGCCCCGTCCTCTGCGGGGCACTGTGCGTTTTTTTTGCCTTCAGTGTTTTTTTACGCTGTCTATTGCGGCATCTTGGAAACGGGGAGCGCGCCCTCGAGGTTCAAGTGGGGAAGGGCCTTGTTGCTTCCGAAAAGTGTGGACGCGAAGGATTCCATGATTGTCCAGCGGACACTGGGGGAAACTCGTCCGCTCATTCTTTCGAGCACCTGCAACAAGGCTGTTGCCATTTGCATCAACAAGCCGATGTCGTATGCGTGCACCGTCGCTTGCGACCTCGCTAAAAACGGTTTCATACCGAACCGCATCATGGTCAACAACATCCTCGACTTAGAGGGCAAGTGCTTGCACTGGATAGCTCAGCGCCACAGGACTGGAGTCTTGCTCGCGTCCTTTGACGTGCGAGCTGTTGCTCCGTACATGTTACACGCGGCTATTTTCTGGACCCTTGCCGCCATGGCCATCCTGGGCGACGTGGTTCAGGCTCGGAAACTGGAGCATATACATTACCAGTGGCTGGCTGTTGTTCAACCCTAGGAAGTCTTGAGGGTCGGGGGCGACGTCGGGGTGGTGTGGTGTATTTTTGTTTCCCCGTTTTCCCGTGGAAACAACAAATCATGTACACACCAGGATGCCGTGTACACCAGAATCCGTTTTATTGTGCGAATCTCAGTGCGGGACTGGAAAAAACATCGGTGTATAAAGTTCGGTTCTTTACAGGCCATCCGGGCATTCCGTCAGGATGTGTGGGTTGAGGTTTATCGCCGGGTCGTCAGTGGAGCGGGCGTCTTCTGCAGCAGGGGCATCGAACAAGGCTGCCCCCTCTCCGGGAGCCCGTTCGCCCCGTGTTTTGACCAATATGCTTGTGGAAGTCGATTAATGGAGAGAAAGCGTGCTGCCAAATAATTTCCAGATGTCTAAAAACGTTTCAAACATGTTTTAAATATGCAAAAACATACTTGAAACATGTTCACAACATGTTCCCGACATTTGCAGCACATTTTACATTCAATGATAGGACTGTTAGGGTGTCCATTGTCGTGGCATCCACAACCCAATCATACGGATGCATGCCGCGCGCCTTCCACCATGCATCTCTTTCTTTAGAGAATTTGCGGACGACCTGGGATTGGCATCGGGAGACATCGTGTTCAGCCTGGCCATCTCGCTTCGTATCTGGCAGGTGGCTGGTTCTGCCATTGGCTTGGGACTTAACGTTGCGAAAACTGCCGTAGTAGTGTTTGGGCTTTTCTCGTCCTCCAAGTTCTTGCCGCCATGGCCGATGCCAGCTTTCCGGAACTTGTCGCTCAAGTAAGTCGGCGTTCATTGTGGGCACGGGTGCCGGTCTGCTACGTGGGCTGAGCCGCTTGGAAAATACCAAGCCAGCAGTCACTTTGTTGGGAGCGTGAGCCTTGGGTACAGAAGCCCCTTTGCACTTATAGCATGTTCTCTTACAGCACTCTCACACACGTTGCTCAGCGCACCACCCCGACCGAACGTGAATTGTTGCAGGTTGTGATTTATGCCCCGCGTTTCGCCCTCCCTTCCCCCTTCCTCTGTTCCCTCCGCTCCCTTGGCCTTCCCCTCCAAAGTAGGTGCCTGGAGCACGCGGGTCGTGCTGCTCTGTTCCGTGTCGCCGAGCAATGTGAAGATTTGTCTGAAACCAAGTCCCTCCTCGAAGATTTGTCCTCCTCCGACCCCTATGTCATTGCGTGGAAATTCCAGCCTCGATGGCGGGAATCGCATGTTCGACATGTGCTCGAAAATTGGCATGCCCTTTCTTCTCTGCCGGACCTCCCTCCTCCTTCCTCCCACCGTCAGAAAAATGTTGAGGCCTTGCTGATTGATTCCTACAGCTCCTCGTGCAACTCAGTGCTTGTGCGAAATGCTCGGAAGTTCGACTCTGACCTCACTCAGGTTCAGGAGATGGCCATGGCCTCGGTAATTAATCCCTACGCTTTCTCCTTTCCTCCCTCTGTGCATCCTCTCCTCCTTCGCACGTTGTGCCATGCGTGGTGCACGACTGGTCGGCTCGGGATGGCGCAGCGCTGCCGCGCATGCAATGCCCCCCAAGGCGACCGTCTGAGGCACACTGTTGTTTGCCCCACTGTTGAACCTCTTCTTCTCCGTTTCCCCCTCCTGCCGAATTTCTTCCAGTACGGTGGATGGCAAGATCGAGTGTGTATGGCGTTCTGTCCCCACGCCCCATGAGACACTTGCCTCCGTAGTTCTAGCCCTTTACATATACAGCAAGGCATACCATGATTTCACAATCACTTATACAACCTCAGCCCGGTTGTTGAAGCATGCCGAGGTTCGTTTGCAGTAGCTGGCACGCAGGGGTGATCGAATCCGTAGTTTTCATGGTAGGTGTACGGGGTTATGAGTCCCGTCTACGGTGTGGCTTGCCTCGCTGTCAGATGCCCGGATAGCCCTCTTGAAGGGCAGCGGGTTGTTTCCCTTTCATGTTTTCTCTCGCCCTTCACTTCCTGGATCGTCTTTCTTCCCTTGTCCGCCCTTCCCCAGCTGGCCAGTGTCGTTCCCGCCTCTATTTACTTCCTGTCCAACCTGCTCCCAACTACCACCCGCCTCCCCCTACATCTTCCCACGTCCTCCCGAGTTCTCACACCTCCTCCCACGTCCCCCCAAGTCCTGCCACCTCCCACAGCCTCCCATCTCCTCCCACCTCCCCCTCCCGAGTCCTCCCGAGTCCTCCTACGTGTCGTCCTCCCGAGTCATCCTGCCTCATTTTGTTTCCTCCCACTTACTAGCACGTTTTGCGCTGTGGTGCACACACATGCGGTGTGGTGTACACACAGGCATTGCACGCGGGCTTTGTGTTGTGCACAGGTGCTGTGGTACACATGGTTGCTGTGGTGTACACAGGCGCTGTGGTGTACACAGGCGCTCTTGCGCACGCGGTTGCTGCAGTGTACACGGGCGCTGCGGTGTACACAGGCGAACTGGTGCTGTGGTGCGCACGGCTGCTGTGGTGTACGGAGGCACTGTGGTGTACGCGGGCGGCGCTGTGTCACACGCAGGCATTGGACGTTGTCGTGTACACAGGGACTGGCACGCTGGCATTGGGCATTGTCGTGTATACAGGAACTGGTGCACACAGGCGATTGGTGTGCTGGCTCGGACTCACTCTGGCGGGTGCACGCCGCGGCCGCCGTTACCGTTACCCCCCCACCCACAATCTCTCCCCCCCCCGCGGGTAACACACGTTACCCCCAATGAATAAAGAAACGGTTTCAAGAAAGCCCCACGTCGGCCCAAGAGGGCTCTAAGACGGCCCAAGAGGGCCCTACGGGAGCCCCAAGAGGCCCCCAAGGAACAGCCAAGACGGCCAAGACCTTCCAAGATGGCCCAAGAGGTCCCAAGAACGAGCCAAGAGGGACCCGAGATGACCTCCAAGAAGGACCGGAGAGGCCAAATTCATTTCAAAGAGCGAACGGTGAGGTAAAACGGCTCGGAGCGAGCAGTGACGTGAACCAGCTCGCAAAGCCAACGTTCCTGAGAGCGAGCAGTGACGCAAAAAGCTCTGAACGCCAAGGCTCCCAAGAATGAGCAGTGACGCAACACAACTCTCCAAGAGCGAGCGGTTGCGTGAAAAACTCATAGAAGCAATACCCCAACGGCTCCAGAGTGACATGAACATATCATAACACCAAGGCTCCCAAGAGCGAGCAACTACGCAAAACGCTCTGAACACCAAGGCCCCTTAGAGCGAAAGGTGACGTAAAAGCTCAGAAGACCAAGGCTTCAAGAGGTCACAGTGATATGAAGCAGCTCGTAACTCCAACGCTTCCCAAAGCGAGCATTGACGTAACGAGTTCTGAATGCCAAGGCTCCCAAGAGCGAACAGAGCCTTGAGCAAATTCAGGCAATCGTCTAAATCGCTCTTTCCGTGTACGTGCCGGCCCAGGTATACCACGCCTTTTGCCCTACAGGTCATCGAGTTGACCGGCACCGCCAGCGTGTGACATATGAGGCGGCGGTTTTGTAACCTGGCCCGAATTCAGACGGCTCGTTGGTAGCACTAGTTATCGAGACAAGACAGCTATTTCCCAGGCGGGGTATTCCAATTATGCATGGCTGATATGGAAGACTCTGATACTGATGACACTGCCCCCGCACGCGGAATGGTCACGTCTGACTCTGCCGCGGCCCTGGTGGTTTCGGCGGACTCCTGCGATGCGGCCGACTGCGATGCGGCCGACGTAGTGGCGTCCAGTGAAGCGCACCGCGCGCCGCGTGCTGGTGACGCTGAAGATCATGGCTTCGAGGCGGGGATTCATACATACCACCCGCCTGGAGTATCGATGTTCGCGGACTTCCACTGGCGGTGGATATGGATATCTGTTGGCCCCCAGGGTCGGGTGTTGCTAGAGGTGCCCCTGGCCCAAGGTGCCCCCAGGATTTTCAAGGAGGCCACTACGGCCTCCAGTGCACCCCTCACGAGGTCCAGAGGGCCCCAGGAGCTCCAAAATTGAGCGAAAAGCTGGGGGCACCTTGAGCCAGGGGCACCTTTAGCAACACCCGACAGGGTCCAACATATCTCCATATCCACCGCGAGCTGGGTCCCCAGGGCGCGGGTTCCCAGGCGGTGGCTGTGGATAAATCTCCGCCTCGCAACGGCGGCCCTGCCGCGCCAGGCCTCCCGGAGCGCCGGCCACGGGCCGCGCGCCCGGGTGCGGCGGGCCCGCCCGGCGAGGCGGGCGCAGGTGGCCCGCCCGAGGCGCCCGAGGCCGAGGGGCGCTCCGAAGCCGCTCCGCGGCCCCGGAGCGTCGGAGGCCGCATCCGTCGCCGCGCCGCTTGTCCCGACGCGCGGCCCCTTCCGTTGCATCTTCGGGGGACCCCGCCTGCCCCGAAAGTGGGTGTCTTTTTGGGGGGGCCCGACGCGGGCTCGGTGCGGACTCGACGCGGATTTGGCGCAGATTCGATACGCGGATTCGACACGGATCCCGCGAGGCCGACGTGGATTCGACACGGATTCGGCGCGGATAGGGCCGCGACGGGACAGACAAGGTCCCCCGACGATGCAACACAAGGCCCCTGCGTCTCGGGGGGGGGGGGGCGCCCAGGGCACCATTGGCGAGCCTCCGGCGCGGCGGGTCTGCCGTGGGGTCCCTGCCGCGGTGCCGGCGTCGTCTGGCTGGGGCGCGGGGCGCGGGGGCCTGCCGTGGGTTTGCCGTGGCGTGGGCGTCGTCCACAGGGGCGCGTCGAGGACCATGGGCGCGGCGACGTCTCGAGGAACAAGCAACGAGAGGAGCGCAAATGCTCGGAGGTCCGCGCGGATTTCTTGGATCGGCGCTGGGCCACCATCTATGGTGACTGTTTTTTTCTGTATCGGGGAGGCCGTAAGGTCCGTTACGGGGGGTCGCCTCCCCCCTCCTCGTCACAGACGGTACCGAACGTGCGCGGGGGGAGTGCAGCAGTTCCCCAGAGGCTTGGTGCGGTGCTCACAGGCATGTCGTAGTGCTCACAGGCTGCAGCGGACGCCACGGAAGGGTGTTGAAAAACAAATCCTGGCGCGCGAAGCGCGCCAGGGATGGCGCCGGAGGCGCCGCCAGGGGGCCCCAGCACCGAACCGAGAAATCTGCGCGACGACGACGACGCCGACGTCGACGACGACGACCGCCGACGACGACCGACGACGACCGCCGACGACGACCGCCGACGACGACCGCCGACGACGACGACGACGACGCGGACCTCCGAGTGTTTTTGTTCGCGCCGTTCTTTGTGCCCCGAGCACATATGGCTGCTGCCCCTCGCGCCGCGCGCCGCGGCCACAGTGGAGGTCACCTTCCCCGGCGGCGGCGTGGAGTGGGCCGCGGCCCTCTGCGAGGGCGGGCCCGAGGTGCGGGCCATGCGAGAGGGTATTCGAAACGTCTTGTTGGTCAAGGGGTTGACAAACGTGAAAACGCGGCGCGGCCCCCCCCCCCCCCCCCCAGAACGCAGCGAGCAACTGCACCCCCCCACCCCCCCACCCCGCCACCCCCACGGACACGCCCCACGGACACGCCACGGCCATCCCCTTCCCGGCATTCCAAGGGGGGAGATGATCAAAATAGTCAGACTAGCGACCAGGATCGGAAAACGGAGGAGTACGAAATCTGTTGCATGCAGCCGGTTCTGAAGGGGAAAAGATAGACGCAGGCACAGATAACCATCGATACCCAGGAAGGGTTGAAAACATGGGAAGAGGATGGGGAGATGAACGTCCAGACAATATGGAAAAATATGGGCACGAGGTTTGGCGGCGAACCCCGGGGGGGGGGTGAGAGGGGGCGGGCCTTCTCGGAAGGCTCGGAAGTCTTCCCGCCCTCTGAAAAGTTTGCGAAGCCTCCCCCGGAGGCACACAAAATGCCACTCAGAAGGCGCGAGGGTTTCTGAGAAGGCCCGCCGCCTTCTTGCTTCCCCTCAGGGCTCGCGGCCGAACCTCGTGCCCATATGTTCCATACTGTCTGGATGTCCGCCTCCCGATTTCCCATACTTCCCCAGGAATCGTCATTATTGCGAAGGCCTTACGGCCTGTGCCGCCGACCCTGGAGGCCACGAATATGGAAACGCGGGGGGGGTGGAGGAAGAGGAGGTGGAGAGGGAGGAAGGGTGGAGGAGGCAGTTGAGGGAGCAGGCGGGGGAGAATGATGAGGAGGAGGAGCATGAGGAGGAGGAATAGGAGCAGGCACAGGAGGGGCACGAGGAGGGAGAGGAGCGGTGGAGATGGAGGAGGAGGAGGAGGAGGCAGGAAACAATCAAAATCATGACAGAACTTTCGGGGCTCTCCCTGGCCCCCTCCTGGAGCATCCCCGGGACTTGTTTCCCGGATTTACCTCCGGGCCCCCCCCCCGCACGCAGGAGGATGAGGAGGAGGTGGAGGACGAGAAGCAGGAGCAGGAGGAGGAGCGAAGAGCAGAGGGAGGAGGGAGAAAAATAGCAGTACCCCCCCCCCCCTCCTGGGACTCCCTCGGGACCCTACCCCCATGGGGAAGAGAATGGAAGAGTTTCTTGTTCGACGTCTCAAACCCGCCGACGGGCCCAGCGGATATTGACTATGAAAAAGGCTTGAGCGCAAGTGAACCTCAGCATGTGCGAGTCTGCGAAGGAGGATGTGGAGGAGGAGAAGGAGGAGGTTGGGAAGGAAAGTGGCGTCCCTTCGTGGTTCAATGTTGGCGCGTCTGGAGTTTTCCTCGGCTCCGAAATCGCAGCGAGGGAGGCGTCGTATCTGACCTGGGACCCTCCCCCGCCACCCGTCCCCGGTCTCGCCCTGGTACCCCCCCGGGACGCCCCCCCCCCACGCCCGGCGGTGAAAGGATACAGGGAGTTCTCGGGGGGGCCTCTTGGGGGTAGTTCTGAGGCCTCTCGGGAGGCTGTTGGGGGCCGCTCGGGAGCCTCGTCGTGGCCTCTGGGAGCTTCCTGGGTGTCTCTTGGGAGCCTCTTGGGGTTTGGTAGGGAGCCTCTTAGGGGCCTATGGGGGCCTCCTGGGAGCTTCTGAGGCCGAGGGTTCGAAATGTCCGGTGGAGTCTCCAGTCTGGGCTCTCTCTTGGAGCCGTCTTGGGGACCTCTTGGGCTAACTTGGAGGCGTCTTGGGCGATATTGGGGCGGTCTTGGGGTCCTCTTGGCCTGTATTGGAGCGTCGGGAAGCTGACAAGGCGAGAATGCCCAATTCTTTCAAAACCCAAGGGAGATCTATGATTTTGCTCCTTGGGGACCTCTTGGGAGTGCCCTTGGATTGGGAATTTCCGAAGCTGTCTGGAGGCTATCGCGACTTGGACCGATACTTCGGCGATTCGGGGCCCTCGAGGACATTCTTGGGGGCCTCTCGGGGCACTTTTGCTACGTCTTGGGGATTGTCTGAGCTTCCGAACCGCCCGGAGGGGAGTCGTATCTGATCCAGGACCCCCCCCAGAGACCTCCCCGGGGACCCCCCTGGGACCCCCCCCTTGGCGGGGAAGGGATCAAAGGGAAGGGGCTTCCCTTCGACTCAACTACAGCGCTGCTCAATTTCGCTGTGGCCGGCGCGCTCGAGGAGGAGGGCCCGGTGAAAGTGGAGGCAGCGGCGCCAGGCTCAGGGAAAGGGAGGTGACCGGCGAGGGCGACAGCGACGACGACGACAACAACGACCACGACGACGACGAGGACGAGCTTCCACACGCCGACAGGGTCGGCGGGTTTGTGCCTGTGTCCGTCTCCCCCCTCCGGAACCCCTCGCTCGCGGCCGAGAGGTGGAGCTGCGCGCCGTGCTCGAGGGGCAGGGCTGGGAGCAGGTGCTCGCCGAGGGGCGGGGGTGCCAGTTCGAGGGGCGCACGGCCCCGTGCAGGGAGAAGGCGACCATGCTCCCAGAACAGAATGTGCGGCACATCCGTTCCCCTTCCGAGCTCCGCGCGGATCTGTGGGATCGGCGCCTGGCCCCTGACCCCCCTCCTCCTTGGCGCGCAGAGCGCGCCGGGGGCGGCGCCGGAGGCGCCGCCCCGAGGTGGGTCAAGCGCAGACCCAGGAACTCCGCGCGGACTTCCGAGGGTTTTCGTGTTTGCGCAGTTCATCTGTTCGAAACATCCGGCGGCGAGCCCAGGGGGAGTAAGAGGGGGCGGTCCTCAGGCGGCGGCGGGGCTTTTTAGGTGCCCTTGCGTCTTTTGAGAAGGCCTTGTAAGCCTTCGCCGATTTCACGGACGGCTTCTCAGGAGGCGCGAGGGCTTCCGAGAGGCCCTGCAAGCCTTCTGAGAAGGCCTGCCCCCTCTCAGTCGGGGAACAACACTAAAAACAAACACTGTCGGAGGTCCGCGAGGATTTCTCGGATCGGCGCTGGAGGCCCCTGGCGGTGCCTCAGGCGCCGCGCCGCCTCTGGCGCGTTCCACGCACCAAGGAGGGGCGCCCAGCGCCGATCCAAGACATCCGCTCGCGGACCCCTGGACGTTCATGCTCATGCCATTGGTTGTTCCTCCACTTCCCGTTCCCCTTCTGGGCTCGATGCGGACCCCGTTTTGTTGTACGTCGTCGTCGCTGATGCATCGTCGATGCGGCGCGATCCTCCGACTCCGTCTGCTCGGGCCCCATTCGGGAGGTCTCTGTCCTCTCATGGCGAAGCGTCCTGGTTTCCAAGAGTGCTCCAAGAATTGTCTGTGGTTTGCACGAAATGTCCTCAGAACATTCCTGGCCGCTTTGTTCTCATACCTCGGCTTGTGTATGCTATGGGAATACTGCGTCTTATTTGAAGCCTTCTATTGTTCGAAGAACACTCCGTGGCAGGCCTACACTTGATGGGCCCGTTTTTACACCGCTTCCGAAACAACTGTTTCTTGAACGTGGGAACGGCAGAAGAAGTGGCAGCCGGAAACGGCAAATCACAACGGCTCCGAAATGGGCACCGGAACCGAAACCGGCAAAACAACGGCGATGGAACCGTCAGCAAAACGGCCCCGTCGTTTCCAAAGCCCAGGGTCGGTCCCTATCCCCCGGGCTCGCCGCCGACCGTGCGGCTGCGCGTCGCCAACCCGCCCTCCTCGGGCGGCCGGCCCGTCACCGCGGAGGTGCGCGTGGTGCCGTTCGGCGCCGCGGCCTCCAGCCGCCAGGACGGCTTCCAGGCGCCGGGGCACTGGCTGTCGACGCGCGCCACCGCCGCCGAGGCTCGAGGGAAGAAACGCCTCCTCCTCCTCCTCCTCCTCCTCCTCCTCCTCCTCGTCGTCCTCCTCCTCGTCCTCCTCCTCGTCCTCGTCCTCCTCCTCCCCCTTTTCCTCGTCCTCCTCCTCCTCCTCCTCCTCCTCCTCTCCCTCCTCCCCTCCTCCTCCTCCTCCTCCTCCTCCTCCCCGTCCTCCTTTTCCTCCTCCTCCTCTTCCCCCTCCTCGTCCTCGTCCTCCTCCTCCCCCTCCTCCTCCTCCTCCTCCTCCTCCTCTTCCTTAGCCGTTTCGGCACGAGCGTGTTGGGCGTTCGTGTTTGCGCTAGCCACTGAGAGAAACAGCGACGACAGCGACTGCGCCTGGGAAGCGTGGTCTTCAGTGGTCTTCAGTGGACTTCAGTGGAGGTGCTTCGGAGGTTGCGGATGATGCCCCAACGACACCTGGCGCAGCGAGTGTTGGTCGTGCGGGGCCAAAGCATCGCCAAAGATCTTCGCAGCCATCCAGCAGTGTGACGGCGGTTAACCGCCTTGGCGGCAAGGTCATGGCAAGGGAGGCGGCCAGAGCCCCAAAAGCGGACGTGGCAGCAAAAATGGCAATTCGAAGATTGTCAATCCTTCGCGCTGGGGTGAAGGCCAAGACTGGGTGGGCTCACTTCAAACAACCGCCAGTGCAGCCCGCGGAGCTGTCCCTTCTCGAGATGGCCGAGGCGTTCAACAAGGCGTGTGCGGAGCAAGGGAAGCAATGCCTCACGCAGCAGCAGCAGGAGGTCCTGGCACCGCAGCCACCTGAGAAGGTCGACCTTGCCACGCGGCCGTTGTTCCAGATCCTGCATAGGAAGGCGGACATTGCCAAGCATATCAAGCGCACCAAAGCGAGGCTGGCCGAGAGGGCCAAGGAGCTGGCGGCAGCCCAAGCTGCGCATGACGAGGAGCTGCGCCAGCTCCGTGAGCACGAGGCCCAGAACGTGGAGCTGGAGGCGCTCGAGTGGGCCAAGTAACACGGAGGCGGCAGTGCCCACCGAGGACGCAGAGTGGACGGCGAACAATCTGGCCTTTGCAGAGGAGATTCCGGGCGGCCTCGCCAAGCACCCAGGCGTCCAATGTGTCCAGGAGATCATCAACGCAGCCGCCAAGGAGGCAGCCAAGGGCGGCCGCCAAGGCTGCTGCCCAGGATTCCGCGCCTGGTGGCTGGTCAGCCCGACGGCAGTGGTGGAGCCGACATCCCAGTCGACCCTGATGACATCGAGATCGACGAGCAGCTCGCTGACACAGTGGCAGCAGCAGTAGATATGCTCTCAGGCAAGAGGCCCGCTTTCGACCTCAGCAAGGGCGAAGACCCGGCCGCCTCAAGCAGCTCGCGGCGGGCTTCATCAAGTCGGCGAAGAAGCAGCGAGTTTGACGGCTTGGCGGAGGAGAGCGGCCTGGACTCCTACAGCCTGGCGACTGCGAGCGGACGCCCCGGAGGAGCCACCGCCGCGCACTTGGGGCAGTTGCGCGGAGGCCTCGGAGCTGGCTGGAACGACATCGTCAAGAGCCTCCTCGGCGCAGGGCCCGTGGGCGAGCCAGGGGCCGCAGCCAGCTCGCAGCGCGTCGCTGCGAACCTGGACTGCGAAGGCCCACCCTCGGCAGAACCTCGGCCCCCACCCGCCCCGGCCGGCGGGGGGGGCTGTATCGCGAGGGGGGGGGCGTCGAAGAGGGCAGGGGCGGAACTCGGACTCGCGCGCGTACCTTTCTGGTACTTCGGCATGTTCCAGTGGGTCAGGCAGGCTGTCATCGGCCGCGGGGTCGTCGGGCTGGGCGTCGAGGCCGATGTCGAGGCCCTTCCCTGAGATGGCTGCTTTGCCCGGGCAGGGCAACTCCAGCTACGCTCGCGTCAGAGCGGCGAAGGGGCCTGCCGAGACGGCGCAGAGTGGGCCGGGGCTCAACAACCCAGGCGGATCGGCTGGAAGGCGGGGGCCGCCAGCGCCTCATGGGGGGGGCCGCGACGTAGGCGGGCGCGCGGCAGAGGGCGCGCCCCCCTCGGCCAGGGCGAGCACCGAGGCATCAGACGGAGCGACTCCTACGACCAAGCCAGCTCGCGCAGGACCACCAGGTCGGGGCGCCGTGGGAGCCGCGACCCAGATGCGTGTCAGGAAGCCCGAGGCCAGCCCGCCGGGGGCGCCAGAGGAGCCCGCGCTGGTCTTAGCCAATGCCAACACCTGGGCCAGCGGCCAAGCTTTCCTGGATCGGAGCAACGGCGAGCAGCAGGAGTACGGCGTGGTGTGCATGCAGGAGACCCGCTTCAAGTCCAGACAGCGCCTGAGCGCTGCAGCTAAGTGGGCGCGGCGGGCGGGCTTCGACCTCCTCGGCGCGCTGTCGGTGGAGACGGGGCCAGGGCCGCTCGACAGCTCGGGCGGGGTGGCCGTGCTCTCGGCAGCGGCGGCAGCCAGGGGCGAGAGACCGCCGCGGCGCAGCAGCAAGCCCCCGCATTGGGCGCGGGCAGCCAAAATCTACGAGGGGCTGGGCATCCCAATCGCGGTCTGCTCCGCCGCCTACCTGGTCGATCGCATCGGCGTGGCAAGGGGGCAACATTGCGATGCGCGAGGCCCTCCAGAACTGGGTAGGCATCCTCGCGCGGCCGTGGTTCACATGGCAGACTGGAATGTTGGGCCAGACCCCCTCGCCAGTTGGGTAAAGCAGGCTGGGGGAGTGGCGGTGGGGCCATGCCTCCCCGCGCGTGGCCAGAAGGAGTGCGACTCTGGCATTGTGGCCGAGGTGCTTGCCAGCCGAGTCGAGACAGCCGATGTCTTCGGCGACGCCGCGGCCAGCCCGCACTTCCGGATCGCCATCGCGCCCGAGGGGGTGCGCGAGCGGGCCGCCATCGCCAGGGCGCCCCACCCCCGTAGGTATCCGACGGCCCCGCCGCCGCCCGCCCAGACGCGCCCCCGGAGCGCGACGGGAGCACCTGGCCGGTGGCATATCGGGGGTGGTCCCTGGGACTTGGCCAGGGCCTCGGAGTCCTGGTTCTCGATGGCGGAGGACTACCTGGACAGGCCGCGCCAGCTGGGCCAGCGCCCCCAGCCCGTCAAGAGGGAGGACGGCTTCCAGGTGGTCATGAAGCCACTGGTCCACGCGCGGGACCTCACCCTAAAGACGACCGCGAGCAAGGGACAAAGGCCGCGGGCGAGCTTCGCGGCGGCCCGCAGGAAGGCGGCCCTCATGCGCGCCCGCAAGGACGAGCGCGGACGGAACGGGCACCCCCGATTCGGCGGGCAGGCGCAGGTGATGGGGTCCTTCGGTTTAAGCGAGGTGGCTTGGCCGATGGAAGGCGAGCTTGCGGCCTCGGAAAACACTGCCATTGCCTCGGCCTCCGACAAGATGGAGCTGCACGTGCGCCGCGTGCTGCTCGTGGGCATCGCCGAAAACACTAGCAGGCTACAGGCCCGGGGCCGACGGCGTCGCTCGGCGGAGTGGCGCGCGCGGCCCCAGGGGGCGGCACGCAAGGCGGGAGGGCGGCAGGCCCACCGCTTCATCAAAGACAGCAACCTGGCCCCATCCACGCTGATCGAGCACTACGGGGAGGAAACATGCGAGGGCCTGCCCGTTGTTGGTGACGCGGCCATGGCCGCCCGCATGAGGGTGGGTTCGCGAGGGCCGCGCCGAGGACGAGGGCCCCCTGGCGCGGGCGCAGCGAGGGCGGGGCGACTGGACCAGCCTCCCGACAGCATCCACAGCTGGAAGCTCAACCCAGGGCCGGGCCGCTCTGGCTCCTCGTCGCGTTCCTACCCAAGGCCCCCTTCCAGGTGGAGTCAGGCCCATCCTCCTGGCCAGCATTCGGACAAGGGCGCGGTCCAAGTTGAGGCAACCTGTTGTGGCAGCCGGGGGGCGAAGGAGGAACGCTGGGGGGTTGCAGGGCGGACGTGCGAGACGGCAGGTTTCGCGCGCACTATGATGGCCAGCTTCGCTAGGAAGACGGGGATGGTCTCGGGCGCCTCGGCGATGGACCCCGCGAAGTACGATGCGCGAGCTCATCAATCACGAAGAGAGCTGTTCGAGCAGGCTGTGGCGGCGAAGTTCCCGATGGTCCTCCTGGCGGCCATGTGCTCCAGCAACCGCCTGCCCGGGAGGGCCCTCCTGGGTAAAGGGGTGGGGCCCCTGGTGGATGCCGGCGGCGCCGCGGCGGCTGGGTGCTCCTGCGCAGCGGGCGCGGGCGAGCTGCTGACGTGCACCCTCCTGCGCAGCATTGCCCTGCGTTGCCCGCTGGGCCGAGCCCGGCGCCTGGTGGGCGACGGCCTCCTCCAAGCGGTGGGCGCGGTTCGCGCTGTCGGAGACCAGCCCTCGCAGGCTGCCCGCGACTTGTGGGTCGGCATGCAGGCCGGGCGCCTCGAGATCAATTGGGGCAAGACTGGCTGGCTGGCCACGGACCCAGGGCTCGCGCGAGCGCTGGGGCAGGGCTGGGAAGCGCTGGGCCTGCCGCGGCGCTGCGGTGCCTCGGAGGCGACGGCGACGACGGCGGCAGGCGCCGGGCGCCCGATCAGGACCGAAGGCTTGTCAAGGCGGCCAGGGCGGCGGCCAAGATCGAGCTGCTGCAACCCCCGGGGGCGATGGCGCGTCGCATGCGCCGAGGGTCGCCCTTCGCCGCGGCGGCGCGGGGATCGGCAGTCGCGGGCGTCGCAGAAGGCAAGCTCAATGGTCTCCGAGTCCACGCGTAGCGTGCTCAGGGCGGGCTCGCGCCAGGCACGCGCCTCGCCATCAGAGCCCGCGCCGTGGAGAGGGCTTGGCGCAGGGCCCCTTTCGCGGCGCGCACGGCGGAGGTCACCATGGCGCGGGCCACTGGAGTGCGGGGCGGGCTGCTCCAGCTTGAGGCGCTGGCCACTGTCCACGCCGAGGCGCGCAGGATGCCCGATGCCAAGCAGCCGTGGACGCAGCGCACTGACCCAGCCCAGGCAGCGGTCCTGTGCCTGGCGCGCGCAGGCTGCCAGCTTGCGCAGCGCGATAGGATTCGTGATCATCGCTGTCATGACGTCAACC